AAATGCAAAGAAAAAAGGCTAAGCGGCCCGTAAGGCCAAGAACATACAACTTGCAGATTACGGTGTCGCAGTAGACTTTGTTAAATGCTGACGAAAGGTCCATAAACACAGCGACAGCTGAATGCTGTCGATCCGAGTTGGACAGTATATCTGTAGTAACACTGAGAATGTTTTCTGCTGTACCATGGTTAACTCGGAATCTAATCAATCAATCAATTTGAAAGACGTCCAGCAGCTGGTTAGTTTGAGGAACCATGACAGACGTGTCCCGACCATTCGTTCCACGATCTTACATGTACAATTTGTGAGTGATATTGGGCGATATGAGTTAGCGGACAGCCTATCTTTGCCAGGCTTCAGGAATGGAATAACCGTGCCTTGGAGCCATGCGTCTGGAAAAGTATGACTGGCCCAGAAATTGTTGATTACGGTTAGAAGCGTTGACAAGTTTAAAGTAGGTAAATTGGCAAAATACAAGTGAGGTAGCCCATCCGGGCCAACCGAGATTTTGTCGCCGCATTTGGCCAGGGACAGTCCGAGTTCTCGCATAATAAAAGGAGTATTACAGGCTTCATTGTAATCAGAAGCAAACTCGACGGCGGAAGTTCTGTCAGCTAGACATCGGTTAACGCTGGGGGAGTAGATGTTTGTGGAGGACGCCGAGGCTAGTTGTTGCGCAGATATTTTAGCGATCTCATGTGCATCGGTTACAGCGTCGTTTCCTCTCGCAAGCTGTGGGAAAGCACACGTAGTTTTGGCGAACGACAAACAAGCGGACAGTTCCCAAATTTTGCTTACTGGCGTAAAGCGGTTACACGTTTAATTAAAATTCCGCCACTTCGGTTGCTTTTCGCGGCGCAACATGTCAGAACACGCTTTACGCGCTGTTGTGCTTAGTTTTGCCTGTCGGTCGCAAATGCACTTTTGGAAATTTCCGAGCGCTTTGTGTCGGAGTGCCTTTGCCTGTTGACAGCGTCAGCTTCACCATGAAACATTTTCAGACCGACCAGGTCTGGATCGCTCCTGAAATGTTTCGGCTGCGGCTGAGTGGGCGGCATTGAGGAAATCCGGTATGGCTGCCCTTTAATCATATGCAGCATGCCGAGTGACGCGGTTATTAAAGGCTACCCAATCACCATCATTTGTATGACATTTTTTTGTAGAAGGCAGAGACAGGAGTGGAGCCGCACACGTAAGAATGAGATGGAGAGGAAAGTGGTCAGGATATAAGAGATCAGCCGTCACAGTCCACTGGAATAAGGGAGCGAGACGGGGCGACGCAGCGGACAGGTCTGTTGCTGAGGTGGTGTGGTAACTCGAACTCGAAAACGTGTGTGTGCCATCGTTAAGGTGTACCAGAGAATGCTTGTTTACAACGATTTCCACCTGGGATCCCCGCGAAGACAAAAATCGGCTTTCCGAGGGCGGGTGACATTAAACTCGCCAAGTATGAGGCAATTAACATAACAGGCAAATAATTGTAAGCAAATCGTCAGGCGTGGATTGTGTAACGAGTCGAGAGTTGGGAGGCAAGTAAACGGATAATATCAGCACATCGTGTTTAAAGCTTCACGGTAACCGCTACAACGTTTAGCTGGGTTTGAGGAAGGGCCTGTCGCTGGGAAACTGGGTTATATACGTCAAACGCTGCACCACCCTATCAGGCGTCAGAATGTATGTTGTTCTGGTGGAGAGTGTAGCCGGGAACATTAAAGTTGTACGGGTCCGAGTCACGAAACAAAGGTTTTTCACAGTGCAGCGGCCAGGGGTGAGCGTTTCTTCAAATGGTGGTTTAACTTCAACGCGTTGTGACAAGACTTTCGGCATTTCATAGAACTAAGAACGCTATTTTTGTTTTGTTTTGTGATATTACAACAAACCGCGGGTCTGGCTAGGCAGGGAAGGGGGACCCTGGAACAGGCGCACGCATCAGTGTTGGCTTTGTGCGACACCCCCGGCTCGTGTCTTCGTGGAGTGATGCCTTACGCAAGCGGAAGCTTCGTCGCTGTGTGGGAGGCGTGTGAAGTGAGTCGAGGTCCGTTTCGGGGGATGGAGTCCGTGAAGACCTGAGGGCCCAGGAAAAAGGAGGAGACTCGACATTGATGTGGGAACACACTGGGATGGGGTCATCCGAGCCAACCTCAGACGACAACTGGTTGCGGCGGTCCCTGCCAGGGGTGTCACGTCATTGGGGCTTTACGACGCTCTCAGCTGCTGAGACTATATGTCGTCGCCTGCCTCTTACCCAGGCAGGAAGGGCGGGCGCCGCGGGGAATCGAACCCCTTACCTCTGGTTTCCTGCCAGGGGTGGCTGCTGGCAGTTTGTACGTGGGAATGAATGGGTTCCTGGTGGGTTATACGCGGCTCGCATCGCTGGGAGTGCCGGCCAGTCTTCGAGCCCAAACCTAGGGGGTTCACTCGGGGCGCTGCGGCTGGCAATGCCCCAAGCTTGCCATTACAGACCGGACACGCAGGATCGGCCACCGGATGTGGGCCCTGGCAAGCCGCCTAGCGCTTGACAGCGCTTGTCCTTGACATGCTGTCAGGGTTCGATTACTACAGAAGCTTATCCCTGGCCCAGTCAAAGTTCGGAGGGACATCACTCTCTCCCCCCTGTCCGAAAGTTGAATGGCAAGTGTCCCTCCTGCCCCCTTCCCCTTGTTCCCGCGCGTGTGGTACGATTTCATTGCATAGGACCTCCAGGCAGTCAGGTCAGATGTTCGTAACATTCGTATTGCCCACCTGGGTCGGTTTGTCCGTAACCGCCGCCAAAAACGTGACCTCGGTCATGCCCGTGGATAAGGTCCTCTGGCCCATCACGCAAGTTCTGAGTGCTTTATCAGCCGTCTTGCTCTTTATTTGTGTGTGTGTGGTGTTGTTATATCTTTTTGTAGAGAGAGAGAGAGAGAGAGAGAGAGAGAGAGAGAGAGAGAGAGAGAGAGAGAGAGAGAGAGAGAGAGAGATATATATATATATATATATATATATATATATATATATATATATCAACCTAGTGGTGTGAAATGAGCCATTGATATTATCATTATTTCGAATAATCCAGCATTTTACTTAACAAAAAACCTGCGCCACAACGGTCTTCATGCTTCGGAACCGACGAGTCAAGGCTATCTCGACGAGTTAACAAATATATCACGCGCGTAGATGTTGCGACGGGTATGGAGGGTCCTGGAAGCTTTTAAGTTCCCAGCAAACTGTCAGGGTAATGAACCACCATCTTATGAACGATTCAATATATTTTTATCATATATTCTCATTGTTACCGTTGATTGGTACCTGTTTCCCTTAAGATTTATTTTCACGAGATATTTTTAGGCTAGGCTTTTACTGAAAGAACCGAGAGAATTTTAGGCTGTTCAAGGAATCAGAAATATTTATTGTACCCTTATTATTGCAGCGGCCTGCGCTTAGTTTGTAAATTAATGTATCTTATCTGCATGTTTCTCATTGTTTTCCCGGCGAGTGCCTGGTTAATGCTCACAAGCTGTGATTTCTAAAAAAGCTTTTGAAGGGTCATGTGAATTGGATCTGAATGTCTGTAACGTTTCTGCTTCTTATTGGCATTCTGCACTTGTTTTAACCTAAAGTTCAACCAAAGTCAGTCATCAGTCCGTCATCTCTGGCAATAACCATTGTCATCAAAAATTCTCCACTTGGGCTTGTTGCCACAGGAGCCATTGGTGTAGGGTGCCAGATTGCAAAAGATGTACTCACACACATGCACAGACATGCACACAAATATTTGTATGTACATTATATATGTATGTATAAATATTAATATATATATATATATATGCATTGTATATTCATGAATATCTATATACACAATATATATTGCTTGTCAAATATCCAGTAAGAGGGCAACTGGGAAATTTCAGCTCACATGCACTGTAAGTGCATTGTGAATGCGAATGTTTGTGAAATTGCGATTGTGTGAAAATGCATTGTGAAATGAATATTTGTGTGAATGCCCAGAGTTAAGTACATATTGTCACTGATTTTCAGCATATGAGGGACAATGTTCCAAATTATATTGCAATAGTAAATTCCAGGGCACAAGTCATCTAGTTTTTTAACAAAAATCCTTTGAAAATCAAGCTTAATTCTCTGTGGACAACTCCTGCATGCATGCACCTGGCGCACCAGGTTTTGGTACTTTGATGTTGCCTTGGCATCTGGTGCAGTATAAAGTCTGTTTTGCAGACTGGTTGCCTTGTAAGCATTTTTCAGTCAGATCTGTCCTCCCTCTGCTCCTAAATGATTTTCTACCCCCCGCCTTGCCCCATCACTGATGTGAGGTCTAAAACACTGAAAACTTCCTAAAAACAAAATAAGGAATAGTTTGAGATCTGGTATTGGGAAATTTTAGCAGCTATAAGTCAAAGTAATTCACAGAAGTAGATAAATATTACTTGGTATTATAATGTAAGTAAAGTTTGTGAAGTCTTGGATATCTGCTTGCTGCTTCCCAATTAATTTAAGCATACGGCAGACTTTGGGCATCTTTCCCATAGATGTTTTCTCTTGCCATTTCCAGGGCCACATTCTTCCTCTGTTGTTTATGTATGCTGCTACTGCTGTATCTGCATATCATCATATCAGTTTGCTCATTAATTTACCTGCTCTGCTCATCATTTGCAGGTACACACAATGGCTGATGCTGAGCCAGGAAAGCCAGACTTCCTGCAGTGTTGTCTAGTGTGCAACACCGAGGTGAAGCAACTCGACAGGCCCCAGCGCCGCCTGGATGGCATTGAGTGCCGTGAGTTCCTCGCCAGCCTTATCTGCCCGGCGGCGCGCGACGAACTGGCCACGATCGACCTCATCTGTGACAAGTGTCTGGCCATTGTTGAGCAGTGTGAACTCGGCGCGGCACACGCTGAAGAAGCTGCAGAGCACCATCACGACTAAGTACAGGGCGTCTCGGCAGCGGCGTAACGTCTCAGTGCTGAGCCTCCACATGGACAGGATTGGTGGTGCAGATGCCATCTACTGTGTTCCTGATGAACGCCAAGGGCTTCAGCAGCGCCTGGCCGGAGCTGGTGCAGCAGGTGGCGGCTGCCGTACTGGAAAGCGCCGGTATCGCCCCACGAACCGCGTTCCGGCGTGGCGCCGTCGCCGCCGCCCGCCTCCGCCGCTTCCACCACCGCCGCCGCCGCTGCTGCCACCGGCCCGCCGCCGATGGCCGAGACCAAGACGGTAGCGTGCCAGACGGCGGGTGAGGTGCGGCCGGTGCCGACGCGGCGACCGCGTGGTCGGCCGGCGCGCTGGTCGGGCGCCCAGCTCGGCTGGCTCGGTCGGCAGCCGGGCGGGCTCACTAGCCGGCCGCACCGGCCCGCCGCTGCCCGATGGACGAGCTCGCGCCGCCTCCGGCGCTCGGGTGCCTGCGCGGCTGGGAGGGGCAATCAACCAACGTGCAGCCGCGTCGGCGCCGACGCGGCCCGCGGCTGCTACCGCCGCTGCCCGCCGCCGTCGCCGGTGCCGGCGCCGCCACGCACAAGCGCTGTGGCTTCGAGGGTCTGAAGGAGGCAGGCGGCTCGCGCCCGCGACCTGGAGGAGACGCTGTCGATCCTGTCCGTGGCGGACACGGCCAGCCTGCTGGACCGCACCGAGACGCTCTCTGTGTTCTCCGGTGAGGCCTGGTCCTGCGGCGCCCAGCATCAGCCTCCTACTCTCATTCATCTGCCGGCTCGTAAACGCCTGTTCACCGCTCATTGTTACCTTGCCTTATCACACGCTGCTTTGTGGATGTGTCAATATGTTGTCGGGCCGATGGTTGGTCTGAGGGGGTGCCATCTTAAAAATACCTGCCATCACTGTCTGGCATTGCTGCCGACCCCACTGACGGATGGTGTGCGGTGTCGACAGACACGGCTGACCTCAGTACGCTGGCCGACGACAACTGGACGTCGCTGGAGCTGGCGGGCGGCGGCGAGCCCGAGACACCGGCGCGGGCCGGCAGGGACCGGCCGCACGAGGTCACTAGCGACTGCACTACCGGGGCCAGCTTGTCGTGTTTGCGTTCTCGGTTGTGGTGGCGTTGAATTGGCGTGTGACGGCTGTGCGCATGAAAGTTAAGAGCGATCAACGTCCGCAACTCAACGTCCGATTTGGAACTCCCTTTGTGATGCTATCTACTCACGACGGCGGGGGGTAGACGCCATGTGGCTTCTTAAAAGAAGCGTGGTGCTCATCGGCTTGGCAACATCTTCAGGGAGGTGTTTTGGAGGTGTGGGCAAACGCTCATGAAAGGCACACAATCCCGCCACTGAAAGGGCTCAATATGTATTCATCGTCGTTGTAGTTATGGTATGACTTTGTCCCAGTTCGTGGCTGGTTTCTGAGACTGGGTGATCACTGCGTTTGTCACGTGTGGTGTGCTGCAGAGCTGTGTACCGGCCACCATTCGGTCCCGCGTCGGTGGCACTGACCTGTGGGCGTTAGCCACCCCTGGTCCGGACTGATTGCTGTGTCCGGACCTGTTGCAGGGCGCCGTCTGTGTCGTTCGCCGAGCCGTCGGCTGGGGACAGGATGCCCGGCCGGAAGACCGCCGACAAAGGTGAGGACAACTGGCCGTTTGACGACCGACCGCGCTGTAGGCTGTAGACTTACAGACCGACCGTGGTCGCCCGTCCTGCCACGAAACGGTTGTGTTGTGTTGATCGCCCGTATTTGCGTTGTTTGACAGTGGTCACTCGATCCTGTGGTGAGTCTGTATTCGATTTCGAAGTGAATTTGACACGCGAATGGTGGTGGCGTGCCGACCGTTTTTTCCCCGCCGCTCGGGACTGACGCACCGGTCTCGCCAGGCGAGGATCTCCTGCGCGAGTTCGCCGAGACCATGTCCAATATCTCGGAGGGCGTGGTCCTGGAGGACCTGGAAGGCTACTTCGAGGAGCTCGACCGGCCTTGCCACGGCGGCGGCAAGCTGACCGCGGCGGCGGCAGGTCGCACTGCGCCGCCGCCAGCCGCCGAGCGGCCAGCCACGCCGCCGGGCGGCGCCCAGTGCCCCGTCTGCCTGAAGGTGTTCCGCCACCGACGCTACCTGCGGCCGCACCGGCGCCTCCACGACGGCACGTTGTTCCGCTGCGAGCTGTGCGCCTCCCCGTTCCTGCACTACTACAAGCTGCAGCTGCACCTGCGCGGCGGGCACGGCGTGCAGCTGCGGCCGGGGCGCGCCGCCGCGCCACCGCCGCGGCCGCGGGAGCCCCGCGACGCCGCGGCAAGCTGCGCTGCGCCGAATGCGGCCGCCCGTTCTCGCGGCGGAGCACGCTGCGGGAGCACGAGCGGCTGCACCGAGGCGGCGGGCACCCGTGCACCGTCTGCGGGAAGGCGTTTCCGTCGAAGAGCGACCTGGCGCGGCACGCTGACAGCCACCGCAGCGAGAAGCTCTATAAGTGCGCCGACTGCGGCAAGGCGTTCCAGGTGTCGTCGTCGCTGGCGCGCACCGCACGCTGCACACGGACCGCGCTGCCACGTGCGAGCTGTGCGGCAAGCTCTTCGATCGCAAGGACACCATGCTCAAAACCCGCGAGACGCACAAGACTAACAACGAGCACGGGTGCGCGCTTTGTGGCAAGATGTACAAGCAGCGCCGCATCCTGGCGAAGCATATGCGGCTGATCCACGTGGGCCAGGGGCGCACGTCTGTGAAGTGTGTCAGAAGCAGTTCAAAACCAACTACGACATGCTGGGGCACGTCCGACGCATGCACGCTAAAGCGGAGTCCAACGCCGACTGAGGCGGCAGCGACGGCCTTGCCCTGCGGCTGCCGCGATGTATCAGACCGTGGCCGAGAATTGTGGTGGATGCCATCGGACGTTCAACTGTGGACAGCTATTGGCTCCTGTCGCCGGGACGTGAATGTGCAAGACATTGCTACTCCCTCCCAAGCGATGGAACTTTGTATCTTTTTTTTTGGGGGGGGGGGGCGTGTCTCAATGTTGGTGCGAGCCCTGCAAAGTTGGACTGGGCCATGCAATGGCAGATTGGGCTCCCGCAATATGGGGCATGGGCTCCACAATGGAAGACCCAGCCACAGTGGTCGTTCTTTGAAATAAAGGTGAAATAAATAAAGGCATGAACGATCTTATTACCGAACTACTTGGCTCAGAATGTTCTTGTGCTATGTTAGCACCGCGCTGCAGACAACTAACTCAATGTGAAATTCAAACGCTCTTTGCAATCGGTCTCGTGCTACGCAATTCACCGATCGAATTTTGATACCTCACAGTCACTGCAAGCGACAGAAAATAATAGTTGTATGCGTACGTCTGAGGGTGGATCCAGAATTTCGTTTTTAGTGTCGGCAAACTTACTTCACTCACGCTAAAGCCCTGCCACCAGCGTTTGCACTTCTTTGATTGTGAATGTATTCAACCGCTTGTTAGTGTTGTTGCCGTACACATATTGTCTCGCGGTGATGAAAGTTGCTATAGGCTTCGTCGCATACAAAGAGTATATTGGGTTTTAGCAATGACCTGTGGTAAGGAAAAATATGCGTGCAGAGGAGTACCGCATGCCTTCCAATTGGCTGTGTTGGCCTAGGCTGTGACTAGGGGCGCCAGGGCGACGCGGTTGAAGGGAGTGTTCCACATTTGCAAATGGTTAAGCACACATCAGATATAATGAAATAAGCTCACTTGAATTATTGATACACTGATAAGTGGAAGACGGTCCCAGACAGCAAAATTTCTCTAGTTAATACGCTCATCTACTTACGATTGTTTTATTGCGTCACCGCACGTTTGTATGATGAAGGACGACCGAACAAGCCGCGCGAAATTGCCACTTCTGCACTCACGTGTCGCGCTTTAACATCTCGAGAGGTGATTGTGGCGATGCTGAGCCAAGTATTGTTTTGCGCTCATGTTTTAGTTCTTTCTTGTGTTGTTTTTGCATATTTATCCGTGAGTTGAACGTGGTAAGTTGTGCTCACCAACTCAGCTATGACGCTATGCAGGTACCAGTTATTTGATTGCAAGTCTTACTTCTGTTATAACTAGCGCCCATTTTCAACTTCTTGTGTAGCACAAAGCTTAATTCGTGATTGAAACTTGCACAGCCCGCTCAACGTCGATTGAGAGCCAATTTACATCCATTACGTCTGGAAGTCGTTCTCACAAACGCCAAATGTGAACGGATCTTTGTCTTGGCCTTGAACGCCACGCGGCCAATGGGATGGGAGAAGTTAAAGGGAGTGTTTGGCGTTTATGCGAGGTTTTGAACAAGAATAGCTATCTTGAAGACCTTTCGGTGCTGTTCACAATCCTCCCCTTCTCAAGACCTAAGCCCCCCTAGTTGTTTAGCAACACGCCCGCGAAAATGGGGAAAGGTATGTCGGGGAGAGTATTTCAAAGTCATCTCGGCATTCATGACGTAATAATGACGTCACTCAAATTCTGCCAATTCACAAGCCTGGCGGTGATCAAGGCCAAAAAATACAGTTGTCGAGGCCAGAATCGCACGCTTGAAAGTTCCACGGGGGTTGAAAGTTTGACTACGTGCAATTCGCTCACCTCGCCCGGTATCGTTGCCTTAAGTCCTTTAGCTGGTTTCAAGATGTATTACGACTGCGCTGTGACCGCTCGCACCCGCAGCGACGCATGTTGTATACGTCTGACATTTCGCGGACCCGGCAGCATATCGAGAAAACTCATCGCATTTGGTAGCCATGCAACAGATTCACGAGTGGCGTTTTCGCCGGGTCAGCCTTAGCATGTCCAGTTTGCCTGCGAGTCTACGCCATTTTACAGCTGATACCTCTTTTTCGATTGCACACGTCTGCTAGTGATTTAGCATGGATGTTGCGGATTTTATAGTATTCGATATACATGGTGACGACAGTCACAACAGCTGCAGTCACCCCGAACAACGGCAACATGAGGCAAACAAAAAAAGTAAGAGCGTAGTGCTGGGATAAAACTTTGGTACCGTGATTCGGACTCGAAAAGAGCGTAGTGCTGGATAAGACTTTGGTACCGGTGATTCGGACTCGAAAAGAGCGTAGTGCTGGGATAAAACTTCGGTACCCGTGATTTGGACTCGAAACTGATTAAATTAATCTCGCTGCGTCTTAACGGTGCTACAGTGTACCACCAGTGCTGTTATTAGCGGTAACAAGTCCTGAGTTCCGCTAGAGGGTGCTTTGGAACCATGTCCCAAAGTAGGGATAACCCTTTAATTTATCTGGACCACCTTGCATAAACGGCTGTCCCACAATGATGCAGTGTGTTCAGTTCACTTTCTACCCATTCTTTGCGAACCGTCATTCTTTGCAGCATGACGGAGGCGGCCATGAGATTCTTAAGGTTTAGGTCCGAACGTTTTGATAAAAGGCTTTCTGGGATTAGCGTCTACGCCAAGCATTGCTTGCTTGCCCTCACCCGCTCGTTAAGTTTTCTTTTTGGTCTGCTGCAGAACTTCGCGGCGAAAACCTGAACACGTCGCAATGCTCGCGCGGTCCGTCATGCCATCTGACGTCACCGCAGTGCCATCTGGCCTCACCTGACCGGTGGTGCGGCTGCTGTCCACCAGGCGTAGGCTATTCCAGGCAAGGACAAATAGCGAGCGCCTAAAGCAAGTCCATCCATGCTGCCACATACTTGTGACTCGGAGGGCCGGCGTTCTAAGCAGCTGATCTATCGGAGGTACTTAGTGCATTGTGGGGACTTTTTCCACATGGTTGTTGCCACAAAAGGATGTCGAGGAATGTCATCGACGCATTCTGTGCGATATGCTTCGGAGTGAAGGGAATATTGGAGCGGTGTCGATCGACTGATCATAGAACAGCTTCGAAACGACGAGTTTCTTCAAGACTCATCATAGAAAAGTTTCGAAACGACGAGTTTATTCAATATACCCGATAACCGATGTTTTTGCTGACTAGTATATCTCCTAGTATAACGAGGGTTGATTGTTTCAAAATCAGAGCTCTGCTCCTCAACCCACAGCGCCGAGATTTCAGGTCTGTCTTATATTAACTTTCAACGTGCGTCAAAACAGTGATCATGCTATGCTGTAAGGTGGCCACTCTGGAAGCCCATTCGATAACCAATCTTTACCTACTTTTTTCTTCCTGCTATCGAGATGTCTGTTGCGATGGTCGTGCAAGTTCAGTACAGGGAGAGAGAGAGAGAGGGAGAGAGAGAGAGAGAGAGAGAGAGAGAGAGAGAGAGAGAGAGAGAGAGAGAGGGAGAGAGAAAGAGAGAGAGAGAGAGAGAGAGAGAGAGAGAGAGAGAGAGAGAGAGAGAGAGAGAGAGAGAGAGAGAGAGGAGAGAGAGAGAGAGAGAGAGAGAGAGAGAGAGAGAGAGAGAGAGAGAGAGAGGAGAGAGAGAGAGAGAGAGAGAGAGAGAGAGAGAGAGAGAGAGAGAGAGAGAGAGAGAGAGAGAGAGAGATCATGGTAATGTGGGGAACTCAAAACTTTGCCTCAGGATCTTATTCGTACGTGTTTGACCACGCCATCACACGCAAAACAGTCTTTTTTGCCTCTAGGGTCACCTTCGATGAACCATGAACGACATCTATTTTCGGTGATCGTAGGGACTTGTGCGTGAAACAAAATTTTTGAATGTGCGAACTATGTGGTGCAAATATTTTTATTATCATACCCAAACCCGTAAGTTCAATTAAAAAGGCTAAAGTCAGATGAAATATGAGAAGCCAACCTTATCGGTTCAGTAATCTCCCCCCTCCCACCTGTAGACCGGGAGCTGTCGGCATTTTGACCGCGACTTCTGGAATGCAAGATGCCACTGGACCGTTCGCAGCAAATCTTAATCCGAGTAAAAGTGCACGAGGTCACGTGGGAACAGGCCTTGTAAGATGACGCCAACCTCCGCCGTACCAGTCCGAGGCCGTATAAAAGGAGCACACCTGCCAACTAGACCGTCAGTGGTCGCTGAAGCAATCCAACGATCAAACATGAAGCTGGTGAGTACCCCCAGTGTGCGACAATGAGCTTGCTGAAAACTCCATACACCCTTTAGGAATACTGACTTTGCAAATGTTATGACAGGCAGCTCACTTAAACTGTCACGGTACCTTATGCGAAGAGCGAGAAAGCGTTCAGTTACCTCCGTGTAAGGTGTGCGTATCGCTCTTAGGGACGCATAGCATTCGGATTATGTTCAGAGATCGGTGCTCCCTCCCGGTCAGTGTGGTAACTTAAGACACTCCTGGAATTTTAAAAGACACGGATGCTGCAGAGCAGGCATTTTGTCAAGCATAAAAAGTACGCCGAGCGTAAGTTTTGTGAAACGAGTAAGTCTTTTTACATACTTCTGCTAGTACTGCAAGGTTGAACACCCAGCAGATGAAGGCGAGCGCCATTTTTCGACGCCGCTGTCAAAAACTCCTGTTATTAATATGATTAGTATGAGCTTGCTCCCTCAAGATTGCACTATAACTTCTACAGTGAAATGCGCAGCAGCTGCAATATGGTTGTCCCTAGCTTACCATAAGCGTTTTTAGTGTGACTCTTAGTGTATAAGGGGTTCGGCGAATGCTGTGAATTTGATCTCGTCAGGATGGTGAAAGTCTAACCGCACCTTACCATGGGGTTTAAATTATAACATTCTAATGACACAACTGATGATGCCACAACCGCCAACCTTTTCATTTGAGGCAATGAACATACAGAATTAGAAGACTTGGACGGAAAATCTGTGAACAATGGCACTTCACGGTCTGGAGGGTTTTTTCGTGGGCAGTCGCTTTGATGATCTGTTTATCTCCCGCTTTTTTGAATCAGGTGTACTTTCTAGTGGGATGTGCAGGGATCAGCTCTCACGAACACTCATTGCAGGCTGTTCGGATGGCCTCCAAGCTTGTCATTTTTCATTTGACCATTGTAATCTGCTGTTCCAGCTGGTTATCGCCGCTCTGCTGGCCGTGGCCGTCGCGAGGCCGCAGGAGGCGGACTATGATCCGACAGCCGAGCTCCGTGAGGCCGGCATCATCCGCATGGAGATGAGCCAGAACGAGGACGGCTCCTTCCAGTACGGCTACGAGACCACCGACCCCGCCTCCCAGGATGTCTCCGGTCAGAACAAGATCATCAATTCGGAGCCTGGCATCGTCATGCAGGGCACGTACTCGTTCGTCGCCAAGGACGAGAACGGTAATGACGTGTCGGTCACGGTCAACTGGACGGCCGACGAGAACGGCTTCCAGGCGCAGGGAGATTCCATCCCAGTGGCCCCCGAGGATCCTAACGCTGCAGCCCAGGCCGCGGCGTACGCTGCCGCCGGCGGGCAGTAAGAGTAAACGGACTTGGATGTTCCACGCCATTCCAGTGATTGCTTCAGTGATGACATTTATGTGACTGACTATGCCAGCCACCACCGCTCTGCGAGATATTCCACGTCAAGTGTTTTGGAGGAGCTTCTCGAGTGCTGCCAAACGGTGCAAGGCGTCATTGGAAGAATTGGTATCGATGTTATGTGTGAATATAACTTCGCTTCATTGTCTGTTAGTATTTGGAACTGTCCGTTCAACGTTCATGATGGAGCAAATTCACGTACAGATAAAATTCAACGAGCCAAACCGGTGTGAAGCAAGGTAGTTCGAACATAGCCTACTGACGATTCGCCAGGCTAGTCTTCCGGCGTTTCCACCAATGTCGCGCGGTACGGCTCAATACGCCGGCATCAGCAATGATCAAGTTCGTGGATGGTATATCCTCGCTTCACGTGCCCGCAGCTCGTCGTCTGCGAGTTCTGTTTACGCGGCACGCCGGCGTGTCGGAAGGCAGGAAGTATATTAGCTATGTTGTGTGAAAATACCTGCGCTTCTTTGGCATTGACTGCCGTGCGATGGGGGGGGGGGGGGGGGGCGCCACGGATTTGGAGTTGAGAAGCAGGATTTTCCAGCGGGCCTCCAGGACAGAATGGGGCATCCCCACAGGGAGGGGGGGGGGGCTTCTGGACGGCATGGTTTTCAAGGAGAAGGGCTCAGAGTGCGCTGCTCCCTCATCGAATTGTTGCGTCATCAATGTCCATGAGCACGGTGCATGTACAAGGGTCTTCTCGATTACCCGAAGGGCCTTCCAATTGGAAAACAAGCCTTTCTGTGCCAGAAAATGGCTTTCTCGTCAAAGAGAGGCCTCGTGATTCAGAACAGGATCCTTCCGATTCGCAAGGGAGCCACCAAATCCAGCGAAGGGCGTCGTTACCCCAAAACGTGGAATTCTGATCCGGCAATACGACTACCTGATACGCAGGTTTCTCAGCCAGGCGGGTTCACTGAGTGTCCGGATATCCTCCTGGGGTAAGGGGTCTCATCCGGTCTCTTTCCGTGCAGCTCTTGTACTTAAGGTATAGGGATTTCACAACGATTGTATGGAATCATTTGTTGTGCTCAAATTCGTAACAATCGTAGCGAGAAAAAAAACATTGGAGTCTGCACTTGACTCAGGTCAAGTTTATTACCAATCGCAAACCCTGTACCATTTGTTGCATTTGCGTTTTGAGGAATAGCCTAAGTTTTTTTGTGCTGTCACGTATCCTTCAAAAATTGTTTTCATATTTCCCTGAGAACCAGCGGATATGGAAGCGGTTTTATCTCAAGTGGCAGCGATCGAATGTTCCTCACTATGCATGCGCGTTAGATTATGATCAGCATCACGTACGATTTACAATACCAGGAGATTTTCGGGTTTGCTGTGTGGAAGAAGTCATTGGAGCGAAACTGGATTCACCTTCGGCTTTGCCAAGTCACATGTTCCCTTTGCATGGCTTCGGTGTTGGCTTAGAATTCTGGATTTTTTCGACTGGCTTCGACTTTGCCATTTTTAAGGCCTGGCTTTAACTTAAGTTTTGCTTTACTAGAATCATGGGCCTGGCTTAAACCTAGCATCCTCCGGCTGCGCTCTTGCTAGTTTCGGCCTCATACGGTTTTGAACTGCTATCTTCGGCTTCGTTACGTTGATTTTCTTCACTGCGTCAATGACTTTACTTCACAAAGAAACGTGTTAGCCCGTATTGTCATTCCAGCCTTAAAACCACACAACTTGCCAAGCCTGTGACACATGCATGCCTGAAAGCCAATCACCAGCCCATCTTTCTCAGGACCAATTGACACCTGGAGACGGCTGGGGCCTAACTGTCCGAAACGTGTGTTTGTTAGCACACAAGACGACGACGAAAGTCCTTGCAATTGTTCCACCCGCAATGCCAACGTTTCGTCACAACCACTCCGTAATACCTTGATGGTAATTTCTTTCCTGAGAAGTTCAGCGGGCGCGAAAATAATTTATTTCACAAAACAACGCTGCACACTTGATTCGGCTTTGGCTAGGGCCTCATGATTTTAAGCTGATGAGTCGCATTAGGCTTCGAGTCTCTCACGCTTCATGACACGCTTTTCACGACGAAATTTTCTCACGTTTCTCACGCTTCTAACCACAAAATACAGACAAAAACAAAAGACGCAAACGGAACAGAAATTGTTGTCTTTTGTCGCGGAAACGGTGCTGAAGTTGTGCAGGCTTGTTTCCAAACACACCACAGCTGTTGGAATAATGCATAGGTGTCACGATCGTG